GGGTGGGGGATGGGGGGAGGGGACGTGGGAATTGTATACTAATGAAGGAATTTTTTTTTTCTTCTCCGGAGGGGGAAGCGAGCTGGTGGGGAGGGGTAGGCAGGGAGAAAAGTGCGGCAAGGAATGAATGGAAATCCAAAACCTCTGCAAATGTCTAGTAAAATTAATAATGATAATAAAAAAAGAAAAAAAATACCTGTAGAGTATAAGTAATAATGAAATAAGGTATCTATATAATATTGGCGAGTAAAGTAATGTGCTACAGTCTCTTATTTAGTAGAGAAAAACTGTAAGTTTATTAAAACAGGCATAATTTGAGAATGATCCAGTTACAGATAAATCTGCTCCAAACCTAAATCACAAATATCCATGTCAAAATTTGAGAAAGAAATGAATATTCAATCTTATGTTAAAAAATACATAGAAAGGAGCACTGGTGGCCTCGTGGCAAGAAGCTGCGCTGCAATCCCAAGGGCACCTGGTTTGAATCTACCAGATGCTCTGCTGGAGAAAGAGGGGCAGTCTCCTCCCGTGATAGTTCTATCCAATTTGGCGGTACACAACAACAAAAAGAATGAAAGAAAATGCACATAAAAATATTCTGAACTGATTTAACTCTTAAAAGTCTGACAAGATAGTTGCGCCCAGTGGTGGATTCCAACCTCGTGAGTGGCGCAATGGAGAGCAGAAACAGGGATGCTGTGCCGCCCAAGTGGCCTGACTCAGGGTGGGAAGTAAGACTAGATGCTGTAGGCTCATTGTGGTGCTGGAAGGGGCCAGTCTGGAGACAGTCTAGTGAGGGAAGAATATGAGGTACTGAAATGTGACAAGCACCAGTCCATGGTGTTGAAGAGTTTACTGATGCTGATGCACAGTCCGCTGAACCAAGTGGCTTGCTGAAGGTTTATATCCACACCCACAAGAATGTGCTGATTAGAGTGAACCCCCGGACTTGAATTCCCAGGATATTAGATCATTTCTGTGGCCTCATGTTTCAGTTTTCACACAAACTCAGTGTTCAAATAGCTGATGGCCCCCAGCATCTGTTGAAGGTAATTAAGAGTCCAGTGTCTGATCACCCTCCAGTTGGATGTATGAAAACTGGCACTTCTTTTTCCATCCCAGTTGTTAGTGATGTATGAGACGTGGTGCCCAAGTAACCCTATTGTTTTCATGGTGGGGCCTTTGCCCAGTGCAAGGTTAATGTGATGTATACAGAGAAGACAGTTTCCATTAGCAACAGTCCTCTGTCTGCTGCCCTCACCTGTGCAAGACTGACTTTTGAAGAAGTATGGGGGGTTCATGTGACAGTCTGGGACTCGTGTTCAAAACACAAAGACTGCTGACATTCCTCACCTCTGTCTGTGTCCTAGATGGTGACCCTGCTGCATCAAGTATGTGGAGTTTGGGGAAGTCAGGCTGTATATTTGCTAGTCTAGGACAGCCATCAGACCCTGCAGACCCACCCCATTTTCTCAGGTAATCGAAGACGCCAAAAGCCCGCGACATCTGTTCCGGCAGAAAGGTCAGAGGAGAGGCTAGGCATCTGACTAGCTGAAGTTGGGCACCTCACAGGACAGCCATCAGACCCCGCAGACCCACCCCATTTTCTCAGG